ACTTCATCACATATAGATGTGGAAACAGTGACAGACTTTACTTTCTTGGGCTCCAGAATCACTGCAGATGGCGACTGTAGCCATGAAATTAAAAGACGCTTGCTCCTTAGAAGAAATGTTATAACAAACCTAGACCGCATATTAAAAAGCAGAGACATTACTTTGCCAACAATGGTCTGTCTAGTCAAAGCTATGGTTTTTCCAGTAGTCATGTATGCATATGAGAGTTGGACCATAAAGAAAGCTGAGCGCTGAAGAACTGATGCTCTTGAACTATGGTGTTGGGGAACACTCTTGAGAGTCCCTCAGATTGCAATGAGATCAAACCAGTCAATCCTAAAGGAAATTAGTCCTGAATATTCATTGGAAGGACTGATGCTAAAGCTGAGACTCCAATACTTTGGCCACCTGATGCAAACAACTGACTCCTTAGAAAAGACCCTAAAAAAAAAAAAAAGAAAAGACCCTGATGCTAGGAAAGACTGAAGGCAGGAGGAGAAGGGGACGACAGAGGAAGAGATGGTTGGATGACATCACCGACTCGATGGACATGAGTTTGAGCAAGCTCCAGGAGTTGGTGATGGACAGGAGAGCCTGGCGTGTTGTAGTCCATGAGGTCGCAAAGAGTCAGACACGACTGAGCGACTGAACCTAACGGACTGAAGGCCATAATGGTGGGCCCTAATCCAGTGTGACTGGTGACCTTATAAGGGGAGAACAGCACACAGACAGAGACAACAGGGAGACACGCAAGGGAAGTCAACCAAGGGAAAAGGCAGCAAGAGGGTGGCCATATGCAAGTCAAGGAGAGAGGCCTCAGAGGAGAGAGCTCTGTCAGTTCCCTAATCCTGGACTTTCCTCCAGAATGGTGAGGAAACAAGCTTCTGCTGTTTAACCCAGCCAGGCTATGGTACTCTGCTCTGGCAGCTCCAGCAACCTAATACAAATGGTTCCTGGGGAAAAAGGATAAATGTAAGAAGAGAGAGAAAGCAAAACTGGCAAGATCTTACTGTTGCTGAATCTAGGCAGAAAGTATATGGATGTTCATCATATCATTCTTTCAATTTTACATAAGTTTAAAGCTCTCCAAAATATAAGTTGCAAGTTTTCCAAAATAAAAAGTTCGGGGGAAAAGTTTCACCAGGAAATTTACACACGTACACACATATACATATAAGTTTGTATTTGTCTGCTAGAGCTGTCATAACAAAATACCAAGACTGGCTGGCTTAAGCAATAAAAATGTATTTCTCACAGTTCTGCAAGGTGGAGGTGGAAGATCAAGGTGTCTGCAGGTGTGGCTCCCTCTGAGGCCTCTCCCTGACTTGCAGACAGCGTCCCCACGGCTCTGCTCTGTGTCTGCCCAGCCCTGGAGCCTCTCAGGGCTCTCAAGTTCCCTTGTCTTATAAGGACACCAGTCGGACTGGGCTGACCTAATCACCTCTTTGGGCTTCCCAGTGGCTCAGTAGTGAAGAATCTGCCTGCCAAGCAGGGGACGCAGGTTCAGTCCTTGGGTAGGGAAGATCCCTGGAAAAGGAAATGGAAACCCACTCCCATATTCTTGCCTGGAGAATCCCATGGACAGAGGAGCCTGGCGAGCTGTATAGTCCATGGGGTCGGAAAAGAATGAGAGATGGCTCAGGGACTAAACAACAAACAAATCACCTCTTTAAAGACCTAATCTCCAAATAAGGTTATGTTCTGAAGTGCTAAGGGTTAGGGACTTCCATATATGAATTCTGGAGGGACACAATTCAACTCATAACCAGATCGTTATCCTTGTCCTTACAGTCTTACATCTTTAAATTAAAAAATGTTACTTCTATCATTTCTTCAATTCTTTTCTAGCTATTTGTTTCTCTTTCCAGGATTTCTAGGATGTTCAAGATAGGTCTAAAACTGTCTTCCAGGTAACCACGAGTTATACATAAGGATTGACACTTTCTGTGTGTGGTTTCTCTTCACTATTCTCTATTTATTCATTCAATTTAATTTCTTAGCACAGTGATGTAGCTAGCCTCCAGTCATGGCTAATCTGTTGTTTGTCTCCTAAATTTAGGAATTCAGAATTGTTTTAGTTCCTGAAACTACATTTGTGTTCTAACTCTACTTCTTTGAGAGTTATCATTACTTTGCTAAGGTTTCCTTTCCTCTTGCCTATTAATCCTGTGTTCCACAGAAGCTATCTGTTCAATGTATTCAGCCTTATTTTCCTCTCCCAAATTGCTGAATTCCTTGAAGGTTCTTGCCTACTCATAACTGTTCCCTCAGCATCCAAAAAGGTCAGACTACTGTTATCTTTTACAGTAAAAAACCAGCAGGTAATAAAAAACATGATACTTTTCAGCACCAAGTACCAAACATGTTAACTAACTTAACCCTCTGCTGAAGCACTGGAATGAAGTTTATATGAGCGTGCCCGCCAGGTTCAGTTCAACTCAAAAGAAATTAACAGGACTGAACTGACCTCTGAGCAGAAAGCAAGCAGCAAACTGTCAAGTCAGCAATGTGGGCTAAGGCCCACATTTCCCCACATTATTTCCCTGTCCCACCTTCACTGTTTCACAGTGCAGTGTATCTCCCTATTCATAATTAAGATTAGTAACAAAACAGTAAAAAAAATTTTTAAATAACAAACAAGTCACATCAGCCATGTCTGATTCTTTGTGACCACATGGATCACGGCCCGCCAGGCTCCTCTGTTCATGGAACTCTCCAGCAAGAATACTGAAGCGCATTGCCATTTCCTACTCGAGCAGATCTTCCTGACCCAGGGATTAAACCTGCATCTCTGGCACTGGTAGGTGGATTCTTTACCACTCCACTACCATTTAATCCCCATTATCCTATTGGGGCCAAGTATTACCCATATTTTACAAATGTACAAAGTGATTTTAGAGAAGATTAAGTGTTTTAAAGCCAGGTCCTGTTACATGAACACTTAAAGTCTCTTCGTAACTAACACTCCTTCTACTTCCACATTCATTTGTGTGATCTTAGGCACACAAATCTTTCTAGACCTTATCTGTCATCTGTAAAATGATAATACCAATACCACCCACCTCACAAGGCTAGTGCACAAACCCAATGAGTGAATGAAGGCAAGTACAGTGATTAGAACAGTGTCTGGCATACAATACTCTTAATATTATTATTTATTTGGCATCCTGTAGCTTACAAATATGATTTTTTTTAAAGCCTATATACTCAAATAACTCAAAAGAATCTCAATGATCTGACACTTATCAGGTCCACAAGTGGCTACTATGACAATTTTGGGTAATATCTGTGATTGCTTAACCTACTCACTGCAGCAGTTAAAAGCTAACATGACCTGTCTCATGGTAACATTGTAAAACTCGGTTTTTCACAAGAGTCACTTTGAATCTAACCACCTTTCTTTTATTAGAAAAGTTCAGAAGTCAAATACTGTACTTTGTTGTAATTTTTTAAAAAAGAAACAAATTTCTAATCTAATTAGATATCCATTAAATGGCTTCTAACAGTAGAAAAGTAGCATTCGTGTTCAGGTGTGAACAATAAAGGACTTAACCTTGAAAACACCTCAAAAATTGGAAAAATAAACACATTTAAACAAAGGCAAAACAAAAGTAATCAAGCAAAAGTTGATGCTCTGTAAAAAGCATCAAGAAACAAGATGATTAATTTAGATTATTTAAGAAACTAAAATGTAAAACTAAAAAGTGACAGGCTTAAACTAGCTAAACTAGATGAGCATACATATAAGCAATTTAAAGCCACATATTTTGAAGAAAAGTCAATAGCAAGACGGTAGAAATGTGTACATTTTATACTTTGTGGGTAAGTATAAACCATCCTATGACATTCCGAGGCAAGATGAATGTGATGACCAAAAATCTACTGATTATGAGGCAGCCAAGATACAATGATCTCCTCAGTGCTCCAGTATAAGTAGCTGATGCTCTCTCTATAGTTATAATATGAAATTACATTGTCTTTTTCCAGTGATACTTACCCAATAGCACTGTATTAGAAATGAAAATATACTCAGGTTTCAGGTTAAATATGTGCTACTGATTTATGTTACTGTCTCTGGTTATGTTTTTATTTGGGCTACTGTCTACAGCCAAACTTTGCAAACAGAGATGCAAGTCAGTCTTTGGTGATGACCAAAAAAAAATATTTTAGTAAAAAATCAGAACAGATGATAAAATTAGTGGGTGAAAGTTTAATAAGCCCACGGCAGAGCAAAATAGCCTAGAAAATTAGCATGTCACTTCTTAATTAGTTGGCATTCAAAAACTTCAGCTATTTTTCATCATCACAATAGTCAAATTAAATGTACCTATATCAAACAAAGAACTGACTCATTGGAAAAAACCCTGATGCTGGGCAAGACTGAAGGCAAGAGAAGGGGACGACAGAGGATGAGGTGGTTGGATAGCATCACCAACTTGATGGACATGAGTTTGAGCAAGCTCCTGGGGTTGGTGATGGACAGGGAAACCTGGCATGCTGCAGTCCATGGGGTCGCAAAGAATTGGACACCACTGAGCGACTGAACTGACTGAACTGATATCAAATGAACCAGCTTACTATCTGATCCATGAAAAGAAGCTATTATCACCAAACATTAAGAGGTATGTAGGAGAATTCAGTGAGATAAAGTCTTCTAAGCTATTAACATGTTTGTTATAGTAAGTACTTAATAAACAGTGGGTGTCAGTAGTAGTATATCTATTCAAATTCCAAGTGAGAGATGTGATTCTGCTTCAGTGTTGGCACTGTTACAGTCCTGTTTCTGAGCAGTAGTGTAATAAAATTATCTTAATCCTCAAAGCAATTAATTCCATCCTCACCAATCAAAAGGACCAATCACTACAAGTAAAAAAATCAATCCAACATTGTTGAATCTCTTTATATAACTATAACACAGAAAAAAAATCACATTCTTGAGGTAAGAAATCACCAGAAATGATAAAGCAATTCTGAAATTACAATAAATGCTTTTAACTTACTGATTAACTAAATCAGATACCATCTTAGAGCCGTCATCTGCTTCTTCTTCCATTTCAGAGTCCAAACCATTGTCACCTGGTGAATGACATTAAAAAACAAAAAACGGAAAACACGCTTATAAGACAAAAAGTCAGAGCAACTTATCATTATACAGAAGGCTTCATCTATAAAGTGACAGATTAAGAAACCTGATAGCTGTTGAAAGATGACAGTTTTAATTATTATATTTAAAATGTCTTTTTAGGTATCTATCCTATTTATCTATTCTATAAATGCACAAAATGTATATAAATGAGAATGTGTATATATACATATATATACTTACAGACTATACACACATCTACACATCTTTTATCAGTTACAAATTCCATTAAACCATTTTACATTTTTAAAAGATGTTATCTCTAGAAATTGAAAGTCTCCATTTTTTTGTTCCTTCTCTTGTAACACTAGTACTAAAATCCTTGAAGAGTCCAAAAAAAAAAAAAAAAATCCCAGCTTAAAAACACAAAATTCTATAGGTAATGTATCACAAAGAAGAGTCTTACTTTAGGCAGACAGACAAATGTCAGGAATTTGCAAGAAATTATTCTAACTCTGCATTTGGCTCTTATTAGAGCAGAAATGGTATTCAATGGATAATTAGAAGCAACGAGAAAGCAAAAAACTAAAAAATATCTTAAAAGAAGTCTTTGCCTTCTTAATAATTAATTTTTTATAGAATTTTGGATAAACTTTTTTCTTTTTTTTTTTCACACAAACTTAAAAGTTCTTACCTATATAACTGATTTGGAAAAACCTCACATACATCAAAAAGTCCATTCCAGAGATGCTATTCTAAGATATAAACTATAATTTTGTATAAAGAGAAGTAAAAATATTAATTAATTAATGACTAAGAATAAAGCTGAAGTCAAGTAGAAATACCTCATGATTTATGCTAATACAGGATTAAATATCTATAGTAAGTTACCAGAAGGTAGAAATATGCATTCTTACCCTCAAGAATCTTCAAAATTTTTTTTTCAGACAGGAGCTCTAGCTGTTCCTGGCAAAGTCTTTTAATTTCTTCTATTGAACAGTTCTAAAGAAAATGATATTTTAAAAAATGCATTTATATAATACAGCACCAAAGTAAACTAGAAAACAACAAGCATTTAAAAAACAAAAAAGTCTTGCTTAGCAAAGCTGTGCAGTCAAACCAATGAAAAGTCACAAAAATCTTTTTTATGGGATAAAATCTGAAGACCTGCCAGTTAACAAGCAAACATTATAATTTATAGTTTTAATTGGAATATATAAAGTCATGTTTACTATGAAAGAACAAACTGAAGAGTGAGTCAGGTGCCCAGATACTGTTAATAGCAGCCTATTTCAGTTCAGTTCAGTCGCTCAGTTGTGTCTGACTCTTTGTGACTCCATGAACCCCAGCACGCCAGGCCTCCCTGTCCATCACCGACTCGCGGAGTTCACCCAAACCCATGTCCGTTGAGTCGGTGATGCCATCCAGCCATCTCATCCTCTGTCATCCCCTTCTCTTCCTGCCCTCAATCATTCCCAGCCTCAGGGTCTTTTCAAATGAGTTAGCTCTTCTTATCAGGTGGCCAAAGTATTGGAGTTTCAGCTTCAGCATCAGTCCCTCCAGTGAATATTCAGGATTGATTTCCTTTAGGATGGACTGGTTGGATCTCCTTGCAGTCCAAGAGACTCCCAAGAATCTTCTCCTAATTATGTTAGGCTAATACCACTAAAGGCTTAAATATTCAAGCCCTGGCTCCATTCATCTTAAGATATATATGTTATTGGGTTTAACTTGTCCAAGTCTTTTTTCCATATCAGTAAAATTACAACACCACATATGTTTCTGAGTAATTTTCAGAAATAAACATAGAAAAACATTTATGAATTTAATGAAATACAGGATATTACCAACTATCATTGCATACTGTGGTCTTCCCTGATGACTCAGTTGGTAGAGTCTGCCTGCAACGTGGAAGACCTGGGGTTCAATCCCTGGATTGGGAAGATACCCTGGAGAAGGAAATGGCAACCCACTCCAGTACTCTTGCCTGGAGAATTCCATGGAGAGAGGAGCCTGGTGGGCTACAGTGCATGGGGTCACAAAGAGTCTAACATGAGAGTGACTAACACTTTCACTTACTTCCTTTTATTACATACTGTTACACAGCAGTATACTACTTCCTAAAGCAAAAGAAAAGAATCAGTGTATGTCTAACCTAGTTACTTAAATTGCCAATATTTAATAGAATTATTCCCAGAAGGTCAAAAACTTCCTTACCTAAATACGGTCAAGTGTCCCATTTCTTTCTGGCAAATTTTTCAATACACAAAGCCATTATGGTTCTGCAAAATCCCTTTATCTTTTTGAAGTAGCTTAGTTGAAAACACACAATTATAATTTCCATTAAGTAAAATGACTGCTACAAAGAAAGTTTTTGTATATTTCTATATAGTGGGGAACCTGCGAATGTATGTCATGAAGTACCTTTAACACATCAGGAAGCATCTTCTGTAACTTCTTCTCTCCTATGATACAGAAACACTGCCGAAGCATTTCTTTTTTGTCTGATATACAGAAACTAACTGGTTTTAATGCCACAGTCAGGTCTAATCGACCTTCTTCAAGGTCACTGTGCTCTGCCAAGAATAACTCTTTTTCCACAGGTGGCAAAAGATATTTGGTCTCCTAAAATTAAAAGACATAAAGAACCATTAAACAATAAAAATACATCTATAAAGTCATACATCATTTAATAAAATCTTTATTAAACATCTCCAAATTCTTTGGTTGCATAAATCAGTTATTTAAAACCACAGAAAAGACTATTTAATTACTCAGTATTCTTTGACATTACTCTCCAGGCTGTAATTATCAGCAAATTGATAAAAAGTGAAGAAATAATAATATCTTACAACACACAAATGGAAATATACTCAATACTGAATAATTTCCTACAATTTCAGACTTCTGAAGAATACGATACTCCTCCAGTAGACCATTCACCCAAGAATTTTTTGTATGTATGGTCATTCTTCTTAATTCTTAAAAAGAAACAGCAGCAAAATGTTACAAATCACATATATAATTAAGTACCACTGCTTGCCAGAAGCTACTGTCATTTTTAAAACTGTTAAATATCCAATCATATTCAAAGCAGGCAAGTAATTTAAGATAATTCAATCAACTTTGCCTCCTATTTTCCAAATCTATCCAGTCTCTCAAGTCTACTGCCAGAATGCTGATCCAAGGCAACATCCTTTTTGCCTAGATTACCTCCAGGTGGCACGAGTGATAAAGAACCTGCCTGCCAAGAGACGCAGGTTCGATCCCTGGATGGAGGAGATTCCCCTGGGACAGGAAATGGCAAACCACTGCTGTATTCTTGCCTGGAAAAACCCATGCACAGAGGAGCCTGGTGGGCTACAGTCCATGGCCACAAAGAGTCAGACACGACTAAGTGAGTGAGTTCACACACACTGGACTCCCTACATCTAATCAAAGGTCTTGCCAATCCGTTTTGTATACTGTCACCAAAATGGATTTTATAAATGCACAATCATCCTCCCTATTTGTAAGACTTCCCAATGAACTACTTCTCATAAAAGTACAATTTAGTTCTGTATGCAAATACTTACACAGTCCTTACTACTGGTCTTCTCATAATAATAGAGTACTAAAAATACGCAAACTATTTAAGGCAAGAATGGTGATATCCGAAAATGAAATCAAATGATGCTTGCTCCTTAGAAGAAAAGCTATGACAAACCTAGACAGCATATTAAAAAGCAGAGACATCACTTTGCCCACAAAGGTCCATCTAGTCCAAGCTATGTTTTTGCCAGTACGTATGCATGTGAGAGTTGGACCATAAAGAAAGCTGAGCATCGAAGTATTGATGCTTTTCAACTATGGTGTTGGAGAAGACTCTTGAGAGTCCCTTGGATTGCAAGGAGCTCCAACCAGTCAATACTGAAGGAAATCAGTCCCAAATATTCATTGAAAAGACTGATGTTGAAGCTGAAACTCCAAAACTTTGGCCACTTGAAGCAAAGAACTGACTCACTGGAAAAGACCCCGACGCTGGGAAAAATTGAAGGCAGGAGGAGAATGACGGAGGATGAGATGGCTGGATGGTATCACCGACTCGATGGACATGAGTTTGAGCAAGCTCTAGGAGTTGGTGATGGAAAGGGAAGCCTGGTGTGCTGCAGTCCATGGGGTCACAAAGAGTAGGATACAACTGACTGACTGAACTGAACTGATCCAAAACTAAATCTAGAAAAACTGAATATACCTATAACTATCAAAGAAAGTGGGGAAGAAAAAAAGATGAGAGGCATTAAGGAAAAAAACACTACCCCTAGAAAAATCTACCAGACCCAAACAGCTGTAGGGTCCAACAGTCAAGTACACTCTTGAGAGAAAGATATAAACTACTCTAGAATACATGAAAAAAAAAAAACTGTTACATTTTCCCAACTCAATCCATAGCTCAATACAAAAACAAAACAGGGTAACTACAAAAATAAAAACCATAACCTGATTTAACTTAACATAAACACAAAAGTATTTAATAAAAATACTGAATTACTGTCAAGTACAACCACCAAATCAACAAATCAAATAGGATTTATCTCAAAAAGCAAGGACAATTCAATTTATCAATAAAATTAATTATCATATTAAAGGAAGAAAACTGTATGATCCCTCAACAGAATGCCCTAAAGGTATCTGATAAAACTCCACAAAATCTCAGAAAACCAGAAATTAAAAATTTTCTTAACTTGATCAGATATCTTTCAGAACCTATGACAAATACACTTACTGGTATAAAATTAAAAAAACTGTTTCTACTACAAAAAGGAATGGGAAAAGAATGCCTGCTATGAATGCCTGTGTTCAACACTACACTAAAAGATTGAAAAAAAAGAAAAAAGCCTTAGATAATGCAAAAATAACAAAAAATAAGAAATATCACGGCTGATGAGTTAACGAAGGGGCTGCGTATCAAACAATTAATGAGGAAGCATAAAGAAAGCCTTCCATTTCCCATCATTTGTGTTGTATGTATTTAAAGCATGCAGTCCTGTAACTGGTTTTTTTGTGTTTTTATTTTTTTCCTGCATCTTATAATGTGAGTAAACTTTTTTTTTTTTTAAACGGCAGTATTTTGCCAGGTCGAAGGGGCATAAAGAGGGGTTTTATTTCTTTTGTTTTTTTATTTATTTTAATTGGAGGCTAATTACTTCACAATACTGTGGTGGTTTTTGCCATACATTCACATGAATCAGCCATGGGTGTACATGTGTCCCCCATCCTGACCCTCCCTCCCACCTCCCTCCCCATCCCATCCCTCTGGGTCATCCCAGTGCACCAGCCCTGAGCACCCTGCCTCATGCATCGAACCTGGACTGGTGATCTAGTTCACACATGATTATATACATGTTTCAATGCTATTCTCTCAAATCATCCCACCCTCACTTTCTCCCACAGAGTCCAACAGTCTGTTCTTTACATCTGTGTCTCTCTTGCTGTCTCGTATATAGGGCCATCGTTACCATCTTTCTAAACTTCATATATATGCGTTAATATACTGTATTGGTGTTTTCCTTTCTGACTTACTTCGCTCTGTATAATAGGCTCCAGTTTCATCCACTTCATTAGAACTGATTCAAATGCATTCTTTTTAATATCTGAGTAATATTCCATTGTGTATATATGTACCACAGTAAAGAGGGCTTTTATAATCACATATTGGATTCGAATGTAGGTGTTATTAACAAATTGCTAACTACGGGTAAACGTCCTTAATCTCTTTGATCCTCAATTTTCTCATCTTGTATCAAGTAGATGAAGAGAAGTAAAGCGGGGCTTGCAAGGGCACTGAAGGCTAGTTCCTGAACCAAACTTTTCAGGGAGGCTAAGGTGCCCACCCTGCAAGGAGATCCAACCAGTCCATCCTAAAGGAGATCAGTCCTGGGTGTTCATTGGAAGGACTGATGCTGAAGCTGAAACTCCAAGACTTTGGCGACCTCATGTGAAGAGTTGACTCATTGGAAAAGACCCTGTTGCTGGGAGGGATTGGGGGCAAGAGGAGAAGGGACGACAGAGGATGAGATGGCTGGATGGCATCACCAACGCGATGGACATTGAGTTTGAGTAAACTCCAGGAATTGGTGATGGACAGGGAGGCCTGGCGTGCTGCGATTCATGGGTTCGCAAAGAGTCGGACACGACTGAGCGACTGAACTTAACTGAACTGAAAGGTGACCACAGGAGTGGAAGGAGCTAAAGGCAACATGGGTCAGACGATCAGCAAAGCCAGAAATTTTAAATTCAAGTCGTGGGAGTGTGGGGTTCAAGGGAACTTAGGAACGTGCACTTCATCACCGGATCCTGTAGGACCGCAGCGCTAACAGGAGCGACGCCAGGCTACGCATCCCATAGTCACATCCCGCTCTTCGCCAGCCTTCTGAAAACGCGGCCGCTTCGAGAAGCGGCGAGAAAGACGCGCACGCACCTGCTGCAGAGAGCCGGCGACGCTGGAAGATGAGTCAGTGCTTCTCCGCTTCCCACGCTCACCGCGCTCCACGCTGCTGCCACCCCAGCAGCTGCTGCCGCTCCCGCCGCCAGTGACACTTCCACTCGCGCTAGTGCTCCCACAGCAGGTGACGCTCCCGCAGCCGCTTGCGCTCCCGCAGCCGCTGGTGCTTCCACTGCCACTGCTGCCTACGGCGGGGACCAGGTCCGGCGCCGCGAGGGCCGCCGCCGCCTCCTGACCGCTTCGTTTGCGCCGCTTCTCCCTGGAAGACTTCTTTCCCGTCAGGATCCCACTCTAGCAACCATCCGGTGAAAGACGCCGTCTCCAGATTGACCAAATGCCTCCGCAGGCGCTGGCGTCGCAGCTTGACGTCACTTCCGGTCGCGCCGCCAACGTTGAGAGTCGTTTCTGAAGGCTGGGTTGGGGCTGATCAAGCTGCCCCCGCCTACTGCGGAGGTTGGCTGCAGAGTTTGAGGGCGGGTGAGCACTGCGGCCGGATGTCGGTTGTATGTTTCCATATACAAAGAACCATAGGTGCAGTCTAGATGCCCATCAGCAGGCGAATGGATGAGGAAGCTGTGGTACATATACACCATGGAATATTACTCAGCCATTAAAAAGAATTCATTTGAATCAGTTCTAATGAGATGGATGAAACTGGAGCCCATTATACAGAGCGAAGTAAGCCAGAAAGATAAAGACCATTACAGTATACTAACACATATATATGGAATTTAGAAAGATGGTAACGATAACCCTATATGCAAAACAGAAAAAGAGACTCCGATGTATAGAACAGACTTGTGGACTCTGAGAGAAGGCGAGGGTGGGATGTTTCAAGAGAACAGCATCGAAACACGTATATTATCTAGGGTGAAACAGATCACCAGCCCAGGTTGGGTGCATGAGACAAGTGCTCGGGCCTGGTGCACTGGGAAGACCCAGAGGGATCGGGTGGAGAGGGAGGTGGGAGGGGGGACCGGGATGGGGAATACATGTAAATCCATGGCTAATTCATTTCAATGTATGACAAAAACCACTGCAATGATGTAAAGTAACTAGCCTCCAACTAATAAAAATAAATGAAAAAAAAATGCTATAATTTTTTTTCCTCTATAGAGAGTATATCAGTGACATCTAAACG